TTTCTCACTTTTGACACTATCAAAACGACTTGCATATCTGTTTTGCAACTGACATGTTATTACTTCAATCCCAAAAATGAGTTGTGGTTATGTATAGTGTTATTCATCACCAAAAGAAAGAAAACGCTTCGAATGTACGAGTTCTTCGCCTACAAGACATTAATTTAAAAATGCCAAACTGAGAAATTTGCGTTGGTTTTTATAACCAATTTATATTGCTTGAACATTTATCAACATTTCAAGATCATTTGGATGTTTTTACCGATACTGCGTTCTAATAAGGGGTATGTTTTAACTTCAACAGTTTTTAATATTTTGATGTCTTGATCAATGTCTGTTGTTATTTTTCTGTCAAAATTCTAGCTCCAATAACTGGTTCTGCCATACCTGAATCGAAATATAACCACAGGATTATAGACATAAACATATTAATGTATGTTTTCATGTTCACACTGTCATTGGAAAAAAAGTCATGAAAAAAATTATGACAATTAATATTTAAGTGATTCTGATACCTGTGAAGAGTATTTTGTAAATCTAATGATAATTCAAAATGCAATCGTTTATTATAAATATTTATTAATCTAACATTCGTCTTATTCTGTCGGTTTAAATCTTTTGGTTGTGCATTGTTAGAAGTTCTTTCCACTTTTAAAATAATCAAACTGTTCAGGGTAAAGCGGGAATGGTAAATACCAGTATTACGGAACTGTATACAACTGTCATGCAAATGGGAGGTTACGCTAGCTATAAAAACATGTTAAACCACCATTTTCTTCGGGAAATGCCTGTACCAAGTCAGGAATATGACAGAGGTTTTCCTTTTTAGCTCACCTGGCCCGAAGGACCAAGTAAGCTTTTCTCGTCACTTGGCGTCCGTCGTCCGTCGTCGTCGTTAACTTTTACAAAAATCGTCTTCTCTGAAACTACTGATCCAAATTTAACCAAACTTGGCCACAACCATCATAAGGGTATCTTATTTACAAAATGTGACTGATGACCCTGCATGCCAACCAAGATGGCCGACGTGGCTAAAATAGAACATGGAGTAAAATGCAAGTTTTGTCTATTATCTTGAAAACCACAATGAAAAGAGAAAATTTGAAAAGGGCAAACATGTTTTGAATGATGAGAAATATCTATTGTCCATTTACTTCTAAACTGTCTGACGACTTTTTATAGAAGTTATTGCCCTTACATGACAAACTTTATCAACTTTTTAAATGTTTGCCTATTATCTTGAAAATTAAAATAGATAAAGATAATCTTAAATAGCAAAAATGATCAGCAAGACAAGATCTACAAATAAGTCTCATGGTTGAAATCGTCTGACAAATAAATAAATAAATAAATAAATAAATAAATAAATAAATAAATAATCTTTATTTCAAGAGGATAATCCCATTAGTTAAAACTAATCTTCCTGAGAGTCCTCAAAGTAATAATAACATATTTATAAGTTCATACAATATTATAATCACAATATACAATTGTATCTAGATAATAATGAAAAAGCATATTAATTTGCACTTTGTAACATTTTGTTTTAAAAGATACAAGTGTATTACTCATTTTTATTTCATTTGATAAACTGTTCCATATTTGAGAACCAGAATATGTAAATGTTTTCTTCAAAAAGTTTGTTTTTGGCTTTTGAAGATTTAATAGTTTTACATCAGCTGAACGTAAATTATTGAATGTGTTTTTCCAAATTTAACTATTAAACAATAAACTGGAGGATGTCATTATGTCAGCTTCTACTATAACCCTAGCAGACTTCTTTAATAACTTATTAAGTTTATTTATTCCACTTTCATAACAATTTCCCCATATATTGCAACAATAATCAAACAATGGCAGAATATAAGCATTAAAATAAATAATACGTATATGCATAGGTAAATATTTTCTTATCTTTTGTAATAAGTTGATTCTATTTGATATTGTACATGACATTTTGTCTATTTGCTCATTTCAATTTAGGTTCTTGTCTATATATAAATCAAGAAGTTTTTCACAATCTACATTATCTATTTGTTCATCTGAAATATTGATTTCTAAACTGTTCCCAGTTGAATAAAGCCTCTGTTTTGAACCAATAATCATTGATTTACATTTTTTGGCATTTAGTTTCATACAATTTTGCGAACACCAGTTTTCAATTTCATAAATATCATTTTGAAGGTTAGCAGTTAACTGAAGTATATCATTACCTTTACTATGTAATGTAGAATCATCTGCATATAAATCTATTACTGAATTTTCTATGTTCAGTGGTTGATCATTGATATATAAAATAAATAACAGAGGGCCAAGGATAGAGCCTTGTGATACACCAGTTTGTATGCATTTAGTATTAGACATGACGTTTTTGACCTTAACTTGTTGACTTCGTTCAAATAAGTATGACTTAAACCAGTCTAGTGTACAGTTAGTAACATTATAATATTCAAGTTTTTTTCAATAAAATTATATGATTAACGATATCAAAAGCTTTTTTTAAATCTAAAAATATAACTCTGTTTATTTTTCCATTGTCTATATTTTGTTAACCATTCATCTACTAATTTAGTAAGCGCAGTAGTGCACGAATGTTTAGGTCTGAAACCTGACTGTGTAGTATTAAGAAGGTCATTACTTTTTAAATATATACACAAACTATCAGCTATATGTCGTTCTATGATTTTGGAGAGACATGGCAAAACTGCTATTGGTCTATAATTATCAGGATTACAAACATCGCCACTTTTAAAAATTGGGCAAACTCTTGCAGTTTTAAAAATACTTGGAAATTTACCACATTTGATGCTTAGATTAAATAAATATGTTAAAGCTGGTGCAATGACATCGCTGCACATACTCAAAATATTTGGTTCAACATCATCTAAACCAGTTGCTTTAGACTTGTCAAGTTTTTTTAAATACATTTTTACATCTAGTGACGACCCCTTATTGGAGTTATTGCCCTTTAATGGCGATATATTATACTTTTTTTTGCGTTTTCGCCTAATAGTTAAAAAAAATATAATAGATAGACAGAAACTTAAATAAGCAAAATGATCAGCAAGACAAGATCTACAAACAAGTCAAAATAGTTGAATCGTCTGACGACCCCTTATTGGAGTTAATGCCCTTTAATGGCGTTTTTTTTACCAACTTTTGGCATTTTTGCCTAATATCTGAAAAAACTATAATAGATAGAAACTTAAAAAAGCAAAAATGATCAGCAAGACAAGATTTGTAAATAAGTAAACATGGTTTAAATCGTCTGATGACCCCTTATTGGAGTTATTCTCTTTAATAACGATTTTTATCATTTTTTTGCGTTTTTGCCTACTACCTGAAAAAAATGTATTAGATAGATAGAAACTTAATTTAGCAAAAATGATCAGCAAGACTAGACCAGCAAAGAAGAGATTTTTGTCACGAATTCTATGCTAGTCCACAAAGATGGAGAGTGTCAATTGTTGAAGATGCACATAGACTAGGTGAACGACACAGGCACTTAAGAGCATCTAGTTTAATTTACATCGGAGTTCGGTATTTTTGCTATTATGTTTTTGTACAATGGAAAAATAAACCTAATGTTTCACTCTCTTGTTATTTTGGAACACATTGAAAGGTGGTATCTCTTCTTCCATTAATTGATATTTACCAGTAGAATGCGTCATTAAACAATCTGTTGTTTGATTGTTTCCAAATGTAACAATTGTGCAAAAGCCATTTGATTTAAAGAACACCTTTTGACCTATTGTATATCTACTTTCAAAGTGTTTACTGTATTTAAGAGGAATTTTGCTTATTTTTTCACGCTCCCAACTCACATAAAGAATATAGAATTAGAATAGTAGAATAGACAAATACAGGTGTGCACTTGAAACTCGTAAATGTAGAAAAGGAGTCATTCCTATTAAATTTCACTAAAACAAACAAATGTAAGATAAAAGTACAGATTGACTTTTGATGTATGTTAACATCAATGTACTGCCGTAGTTATGATTTATTAAGTGAGAACAGTAAACTAGCTGTATAATGCAACATTTAATGTGTTTCATTTCCATTGAAGATTTATATCTCTTGTGGAAGATAATTTGGCAAAAATAATCAAATTCAAAAGCGTTGCAGATTATTCAATGCAAAAACTTGTAGTTTGATAAATTTCAAGAACACCGATGAGTACTTTCGATAATCTTTCTAAAAAGTTCTTATATTTTTTGGCAATCACAGGCTGTTCGCCTGTGATGAACACTGTACTGTACTGTACCAGACTGCATCAGAACAGTGTTTCCACGTATATACGATTTAAGCTACAATTGTGCTTTTCATTCTTTGTTTTAGTATCTTTCTAGTCCGTTTAGTCAATATCTCTTTGAATTTAGTATTTATACTTTTTTCTCTGTATTACTTATACGCCCCTTTAGTCAGACTATTAAAGTAAATAGTATCACAATGTTTTCACTGTGCTCTTTCTTCGTTTCTGTAATTTGAATGATTAATTGTTGCAATTATTTAACGTTCAGTGATAAATATTTCCTGCATATTCCTGAGGATTTTTCTCTCGTTAAAGGTGATCGTGTTGAACTTATTACATAACAAAATTAAGCCACAATATCCGGTTATAAAAATGTTAGATATCTGTAGTATATATATAATGTCTTGTCTGTATATATTAATCTTTTTTTCTTTTTCGCCCTTTGAATCAACTGTTTAATTGTTGCAGTATGCTGCTGCAATGTTGTTATAAAGGGTGTTCTCTATAACATGACCATGAACTGCAAATATATATATACATGTATATATATATATATACACCTCACAGCACGATAATATTTCAGAGAACAACATGAAGTCACATTTAGTTCGTTCATCTGTACCACTGACATTCTTTTCATAATAAATTTTCAACTGTTGAATCAACTTTAAATATAAATTAAACAAACGTTCCGAATTAATTAAAAAAATAAACTATTCCTAAAGTTTTTTTCTGTTTCTATTTTCAGATTTATGCAATAATTTCCATAGCTTTTATCATCACATCAATAGCAGTATTTTGTCTGGAGACTCATATACAGTTCCGGTACAAGGTCAACCCTAATATATCACTGTCCGGACTAAAGGTTTCCGAAACACAGAGGCTCACCCGTCCGTTACTTTTTATTGATATTATAGAATACGGTTGTAATGCATTTTTTACTTTAGAAATATTTGCACGACTTTTAGCATGTCCCACTTTTAAAGCATTTGCAAAAGAACCTCTTAACTGGTTGGATATTGTATCAATAATTCCATTTTATGCTGCAAGAGTCTTGGAAATTTTAAGCATGGAAGGTACGGTTGCCTTTCTTTGTGTAAGTGCATTACGCCTAATAAGAATTTTCCGAATACTTCGATTGACTAGACATTTTAGTGGACTTAAAATTATAGGTCATACAATTCGTGCCAGTGCTAAAGAATTACTCCTTCTCTTTCTAGTTCTTATAATCGGCATTCTGATATTTGCCGTTGTGATATTTTTTGCCGAACAGATTGATGAAAATTCAATAAACGATTTTCAAAACATTCCAATGGGATTCTGGTGGGCAGTTGTTACTATGACAACACTTGGATATGGTGACATGGCGCCACGGACTGGATTCGGATATCTAGTAGGTACTATATGTGCTGTTTGCGGACTGCTGATGTTAACACTTCCTGTACCGATAATAGTTAATAATTTCACATTGTATTACTCTCATGCTCAAGCAAAGATGAAACTTCCTAAGAAAACGAAAAAGATTTTAGTTGGTGCAGAACATATGTTAAAAGAAACAATTTCAAACCAATCCATTGCAGAGGAAGACGAAACCAAACCAATAACAGGAAACAGTAGTGGGAAGGATGTAGAAAGAAAAACCAGTGGGGACAGTGCTTTAGGTAGCGATAATAACAGTAAGTTTTAAATAGTCAGAAAATAGTAGAAAAGCAAACTGTTATTGTGTTTCAAAGTTTATGAAGTTTCCTATGAAGTGTATCACATAAAGGAATCAGTGTGACCCCTCCTCCTCCTCTGTACTATTTGCTGCTAATTTTTAAAAATTTTAAAAAGTAATTTTGGTGACCGCAATCCATCCTAACCGAACCATACTTTTTCACCAGTCTTTGATTCAGCCTTTTACACTTTTTATGCACCAATCCTTGATTAAGTCTTTGCATTGATTCACCAATCCTTAAGTGATTTATCATTTTCTCTTTTTCACCTATCCTTCATTTAGCCTTTGCACTTTTTCACACATCTTGATTATCTTTGGCACGGAACAGTTAACAAAGTACATTCTTTTTATCGGGGTCATTTTTTGAAATCTTGTGTACTACATTTGAACTTGCAGCGTTCATGATAGAAAACTATGGATTTGCAGCATGTACAACCTCGAACTTTAAAGAACAATTCAACCAACATTAGTACAGGACAAGTCTGTACGATGTATAAGTGGTGGACTGTGACTTATAAAACAGTTGCCTTTATTTTGTTTTTCTTATCCCATAAGAGTTACTGACATTTGTATTATGTTATAACGATTGACAGTGTATCACCGTCCCTAAAGATGGTTATAAATGATTTATGTCATGCGCTAGAAATCTAGACAAATATATTCTGTAGTCTAAATAAACATTATTCTAAAAATGAATAAGAAAATAAATATGAAATTGCACATTTCAAAATTATGTAATTTCAAATCAAGATAACTAAACGCTTCACCTCCCTCATGCAAAGTTTAACTGCAAGCTTTAATACATCTTTTCATGAATATAACATATTACATGCAATGACATTGTATTAATTTTGGCCAATTTTATAATTAAATTGTTTTATATGATCAGTTATTTCTGGTACGAGCTTTGACGAAGACTTAGCCGGAATAAAAAAAAATTACTTAAATCATTAATTCTTAAATACTATATATTTCTTTGATGCAATTTAGTATTTTGTTTACAATTATAAAATTGAGAATGGAAATGGGGAATGTGTCAAAGAGACAACAACCCGACCATAGAACAGACAACAGCAGAAGGTCACCAACAGGTCTTCAATGCAGCGAGAAATTCCCGCACCCGGAGGCGTCCTTCAGCTGGCCCCTAAACAAATATATATACTAGTTCAGTGATAATGAACGCCATACTAAACTCCAAATTGTACACAAGAAACTAAAATTAAAAATAATACAAGACTAACAAAGGCTAGAGGCTCCTGACTTGGGACAGGCGCAAAAATGCGGCAGGGTTAAACATGTTTATGAGATCTCAACCCTCCCCTATACCTCTAGCCAATGTAGAAAAGTAAACGCATAACAATACGCACATTAAAATTCAGTTCAAGAGAAGTCCGAGTCTGATGTCAGAAGATGTAACCAAAGAAAATAAACAAAATGACAATAATACATAAATAACAACAGACTACTAGCAGTTAACTGACATGCCAGCTCCAGACTTCAATTAAACTGATTGAAAGATTATGTCTTCATCATATGAATATCAGGCACAATCCTTCCCGTTAGGGGTTTAGTATCATACCATCATAACATATATGAGAAGAACATAACCCGTGTCATGCCAACAACTGGTTTTTAAATAAATGTGTTTAGTGCCGATGCAAAGACCCTATAAGTGAATCAATATTAACGCCAAAATATGCAATCTTTAATGACCTGACAACAGTATCGTAACTATATCCCATCTTAATAAGTCTATTTAAAGGTTTTGTTAGCTTCAGAGGTGAATACTGACATTTTTGTGCTTTACAAAGAATATTTCCATAAAAAATTGGATGTGAAATACCTGAACGTATAAGAAGTCTGCATGTTGAGCTATATTTACGAATGATGTCCTTATACCGATGATAAAATTTAGTAAATGTTTTGACTAGTTTGTGATATCGAAAACCCTGGTGTAATAATTTTTCAGTAATACATAAATTTCTCTCGTTAAAATCGAAAACATTGTTACATACACGAGCGAATCGTACAAGTTGAGATATATAAACACCGTAAGATGGTGACAAGGGAACGTCACCATCTAAAAATGGATAATTAACGATAGGAAATGAAAAATCATCTCTTTTATCATATATTTTAGTATTAAGCTTTCCGTTAATGATATAGATATCAAGATCGAGGAAAGGGCAGTGGTCATTGTTAGTATTAGCTTTATTTAAAGTAAGTTCAACAGGATAAATTTCTTTAGTATACATACTGAAGTCGTCATTATTGAGCGCCAAAATATCATCCAAATATCTAAAAGTATTATTAAATTTGTGTATCAGATGTTGTTTCGGTGGGTCTTTGCTGATTTTTGTCATAAATTGTCATAAATTTTGTCATAAATTGTCATAAATTTTGTCATAAATTTTTGTCAATATATAAATTATGTATACATAGGTATGGTTTCACTCATTGTTGAACACCGTACGGTGATCTATGGTTGCTAACTTCTACGTAATATGGTCTCTGGTGGTTGACAATCATACCTCATCTTCTAATTTCTATATGATGTAAAAGGAGCATCTTATTGGTTCTTGTCAATGTATATAAATTGTTGTTTTTTTTTCATTCATAGTTATTTTATTGTTTTTCACAAAGGACCAATTAGAGCTTGTATTCCATTAGAATTTTTTTAAACATTTTTTTCAATTCTGTATGTTTTCTTCTTCATAGATATTAGGTATAATGTCTCAATGGTTGTCCTTCTTAAACATTGTTTTTTTTTTCTTTCGTTATTCGTGAAACCACTAGAGTTTTAAAATAAGCTCTCTATCCTTTCCACTTAGATAAATTATCATATAGATTCAGACATTTATGATGTGTTTGGAGGCGTTCTTCTTGATAAGATTTCAACGATTAAAACTTTTGACTCATTTTTAAAATTTAAAGTTCAGAACTGATATGTAAATATATGATTTACATAGATATGAAATGAAGAAAAATTACGCTCGCTGTCAGTTTAACGATCAAATGTTAATGCAAAAATCCCCAAAAACATCCGATATCAAATAGATAATTTCGATATATTTAAAAGTTAAGTCTACGCAAACAGAACTTTCTTTTCCAAAATAAATAGTGAACTTAATGCTCGCTGTCAGTTAAACGATCAAATTCTAATGCAAAAACCCTCAAAACATCCGATAGATATCATATAGATAATTTCGATAAATTTAAAAGTTTCGTCTTCAAACATAACTTTCTTTTAATATTTTTTTTCCGATGCAAAAAATTGAACTTAATATTAACCAATATTAATATATAAAGCACCTGCAGAAAATATTATATAATTATCTGTGTTTACATTAGTTGAATTAGACTCTTAAAACTATTTACTGAAGAATAAGTCACCACCTATAATATTTATAAAAATAAAGAGATGTTGTATGATTGCCAATGAGACTATATCTACCAAAAGGCATTCTTTTGGTATCTGTGCGAAGTGAAGTGGTTGTCGTTAGTTGCTGTCTGTCATATTTGTTTTTCGTCAATTGTTTTGTCATAAATCAGGCCGTCGGTTTTCTCGTTTGAATTGTTTTGCGTTTTGTCATGTCGAGATCTTTAAAAGCAAACAATACGGTATGGGTTTTCTCATTGTTAATGGTCGTACGGGGACCTATAGTGGCTAACATTTGTTGTTGTCATATGCTACATCTCCTTATTTTAATAAATGACAAGAATTTAAACAACAACTTGTTACCTTACGGGCTTCAAAATGAGCAATACCCATACCGTACAAGGCTATATGAAAAATATCCGAATAACAATATGTGAAACAAGACAACTAAGAAAACAAAAGATAATAACAGTTATGGAAAACAATTACAAATATATAAGAACTGTTGCAGTTAGCGACATAATACGATTGCAGACATTAACTCTGGTTTTGATTAGCACCTATCTTTGAAGTACATAGACAGTCTCCGTGAACTGAACATGTAGCTGAAATACTTAAATCATCAGTGAGTTTATGAAAGATGACAGAGGGATTAGATGAGAGTTCAGACAGCTGTTAGTCTCTACTGAGTGATTTATTTGCTGTAAAGAACTCAAACGTTTCACATTCCTGCAAAAAGACAAACAGCACATTCATATGAAACATATGATACATAAATGAGCCAGCAATAAACCCAACAATAAAAAAGCCATAAAAAACATAGAGAATATCAAAGTTATGTCATCCCCAAAAACAAAATTACTTTTTGGCTTTAAAATGTGTTATATTAACTTAACGAACAACCATTTACGAAGTCAAGTTGTGTGATAAAATGAAATGTGGTATATAATATGTATAATAGTTGATGTCCCCTTATTTCTGAGTCTTAAAATAACTGTCTAAGTTTTGTTAAATACGAAAGTCAAAGGTCTTTCAAAATCTCCTTTTTTCATTTCATTAACCCACCATTCTGCTTTGTACATTACGTATGAGAGTATTTTATGTACATTATAATTTGTATAACGAATACACAATAATTGATTCCATTGCAAATTAAAGATAAAGTGAAATCACATATGCATGCATGCCATATGTTTGGGGTAATAATATGTGCAGTAACCGTGTTTTGTTCGAATTAGAAGACATGAAAGAAGGAAGACAGTGAGACATCTTAATTTATTCAGTATTCTATATTTGACAATATTCCATTGGTTTTCTTGTTAACATCGTTGGGATGTAGAGCAACAGCTAGCCATAGCTGATGATTCATATTCTAAAAGTCTTGAAAATTAAGCAAACTCTGTTTAAACTGAAATTAAAATAACTTTTTAAAGAGCCGAAGTTTTTGTTTATGATAACTGGAATATGAATTTCATTTTCTTAATACGAGTTAAAAGCATCTTTAAACAATATATATTGTACACCTGTTTGATGCATCCGTATTACTGATGAGAGGGTAACAGGGGTATCGAATGGACCGT